CGTCTCCTCGTGCCTCGGTTATCTCTTACCCGAGCCCTTTACTTATGCACTTTACTTTGTGATAGCCATATTGTTTCTTGTCATATATCTTGCTATCACATAGTTGCTTATATTTCTTAGCATAAGTTGTTGGTGCACATAGGTGAGCCTAGTTGTTTTAGGCTTTGTGCTTGGCAAATTAATCGCTAGGTTTATTCCGCATTTGTTCAAGCCTAAACCGTAATTATTTTAAAACGTCTATTCACCCCCCCTCTAGGCGACATCCACGATCTTTCAGTTTGATATATTCATTCAATTTCAATTGCATGTCGAATGTCTCCTCAAGCATAAAATTATTCATGTTCAGCCAGATTGGGGGTGCGAATATCGCAACCTCAACACTTTCTTTAATAAGCTTGGCATCTCCCATCGTTTGTCATGCCCACATACACATCAACAGAATGGCGTCGTTGAGCGCAAATGTACCTTTTATCTTTTGGAGTGATGCCTTTGCCACCGCGTGTTTTCTCATTAACAGATTACCTACGCGTGTCCATAATATGAAAAATCCTATTAAGCTTCTCTTGGATGAAACTCCTGACTATACCTTTTTTAAGGTGTTCGGGTGTGCTTGCTGGCCTATCTTCGTCCATATAACAATCATAAGCTTGAGTTTTGGTCCAAAAAATGTGTGTTCTTAGGGTATAGTTCTCTCCATAAAGGCTACACGTGTCTCCATGTGCCAACCGATCGAGTCTACATATCTAGGGATGTTGTTTTTGACGAGAACATCTTTTCCTTTTTCTTCCATGCCTCAGCATCCCACCACAGCACCATCTATGCATTCATCTCCTCTTATGCCTGGCCAATTTGAAGATGCTGCATATTCGCCTATGTTGTTACCTAATCATGGTGCAGGAATTGGATGTGGAGCTTGGCTGGAACTTCTCCCTCACGCACCCACTGCGCCGCCCGTAGCGCATGTCGATCGGCCGGTGCATGTGCATGCATCGCCTCCTGCCCTCAACCCCATCTCAGGAGCCCCGTCTACCACGCCGACTGGGCAGGAGCCCGCGCCGGCTTCTGCGACTGGGCCGGAGCCCACGTCGGCTTCTTCGACTGGGTCGGAGCCCACGCCGGCTTCTTCGACTGGGCCGGAGCCCGCGCCAGCCTCCTCTGAGCGGCCCATGTCGCCGCCTCCTCGCCCGGCCTCGCCTTTGTCGTCACCCACGTCGTTTGCGCGAGCGTCCCTGCCGCCCACCTCGCCTGGGTCTGCAGCAACACACATGACGCCTGGGCCTCGTTCGCCCAGCCCACCATCGCCCGGTCCCTCATCGCCGGAGTCCCCTGGACTGGCCTCGCCTGCTCCGGACATCCCTCCTGCCCCGGTGTTCACTGCTCCGTGGTGTCCGCACACACGCAATCGCAGTGGCATCATTCGTCCCAAGGAATGCATCGATGGCACGGTCACCTACCTTGCTGCTTGTCTGGCTCATGTTGTGGACGATCCAACCGCCGAACCACGCAGTTATCAAGCCGCTAGGAGTATCCCACACTGGAGGGCTGCTATGGAATAAGAATACCATGCTCTTATGCAGAATGAGATCGGGACACTTGTTCCCCCTCCGCCTCGTGTCAACATCATTGATTCAAAGTGGGTTTTCAACGTGAAGAAACATGCAAATGGTTACATTGAGCGCTACAAAGCGCGTCTCGTGGCTAAGGGTTTTAAACAACGTCATGGATTGTATTACGAAGATACATTCAGCCCAGTTGTCAAACCACCACTATTTGGCTTCTTCTGTCTCTGGCAATTTCTCGTGGATGTTCTCTTCGCCAACTTAACATACATAACACTTTTCTTCATGGATTACTCGAGGAAGAGGTTTACATGCAGCAGCCGCCTGGATTTGTTGATCATAGTCAACCTTCTCATCTCTGTCATCTGACGAAGGCTCTCTATGGACTGAAGCAGGCGCCTCGTGCCTGGCATATGCTCGTCTGGCTTCAGCTCTACGTACTCATGGCTTCATTCCCTCGACGGCTGATACTTCATTGTTCTTGTTTCAGCGACCGAGTGTGACCATGTATCTCCTTGTGTATGTGGATGATATTGTCCTGGTTTGCTCTTCTCCGACGGCTGCTGATGCTCTTGTGACTGCGCTTGGCCGAGATTTTGCAGTTAAGGATTTGGGATAGCTTCACTTCTTCTTGGGTATTGAAGTCGCTCATTAGTCTCGTGGCAGTTTGGTTCTCACCCAGAAGAAGTACTCTCTTGATCTCTTGCACCGTGCTGGTATGCTCAAGTGCAAGACATCACCTACGCCCATGTCCTCCACCGACAAACTTCCAGCTGCTGATGGTGCTCTTCTATCTCCTGAGGATGCGACTGAGTACAGGAGTGTTGTTGGTGGACTGCAGTATCCGACGATCACACGTCCCGATCTCTCTTTTGCGGTTAACAGGGTGTGCCAGTATCTTCATGCTCCTACTGATGTGCACTGGTCTGCTGTGAAGCGCATATTGCGCTATGTGCGTCTCACTGTCTCCTACGGTCTTCACCTGCGCGCTAGTTCCTCTGGAGTTCTTTCTGCATTCTCAGATGCTGATTGGGCTGGATGTCCAGATGACAGGCGATCTATAGGGGGACATTCTGTGTTCTTGGGTCCTAATCTGATCGCCTGGAGTGCACGCAAGCAAGCCACTGTTTCCCGCAGCAGCACAGAAGATGAGTACAAATCGGTTGCCAATGCGACTGCCGAACTTATATGGATTGAGTCCCTACTTAGACAGCTAGGAGTTTCTCAGCCACATCCTCCGGTCCTTTGGTGTGACAACATCGGTGCTACGTTTCTGTCATCAAACCCGGTGTTCCTTGCACGGATTAAACACATTGAGATTGACTATCATTTTGTGAGGGAGCGTGTTGCATAGAAGCTACTACAAGTCAGGTTTATCTATTCGAAAGATCAACTTGCAGACATCTTCACCAAGCCTTTACCTTCTCCCTTGTTTGAGGTCTGTAGGCGCAATCTCAACCTTCTAGATGCTTCAGGAGTGAGTTGAGATTGAGGGAGAGTGTTAGACTTTGTATTGTAGCCCCACTGTGTAATCCATACCGTATTGGTATAGGACTTGTACGTCACCATTATATATGTGTGATAGGCCACCCCATAGAGGGTCGAGCCAGTTCCCCCAAAATCCTAAGTCTTACAATATCATAGTGAAATACGTCTTACAACTAATAAGTATATGAAATGTAACCTTCTTAGTATAAATTATGAACATGATTACATAGACACAATTAGATGACTAATAATCTTGCATTAAAATCTGGCTACCAATTTAAGATCCAAAGATGAAAATAATTTCGATGATATGGCTTAACGTAGTATCCTCTATCACTACTGTAATTGTATTATTTGGCGACTGCTATGAATTATGGAGCAGGGCCAAAATTACACGACAAAGGCTTTGCTGAGTGTTACATTCAGAAAATCCTACTTGACACACTCACTTTTGGGAAAAGCAGTCACTCGGCAAAGGCTATACCGAGTGTCAGAAGTGGGTACTCAGGCCCTTAGTTTTCTCTTAGTATATAACAGATAGAAGATACAGACTAATACAACATTAACTAAATTAGTTTAGCAGAAGTGGCACTATAAGGATTATCGTGATATATAACATAATTAGTTGTTTTGATCAATTTCGAGTTATATACCTATCGTATATACCAAAAAGATCATAATGTAGAGACATAGGTAACGGTTAGGGTTGTATCATGGAGACCACACGGAGTCAAAAGGCCTTTTATTTGGAACGAAACAATATTAGTTCTAATGCATATTTACATAAGAAAAGCACATTTCTATAATAAGTTAGATACAAATTGTGATCTATGTGTTGACAGGTTGGTAAACCTAAAGCTCAAAGAATATATCTCCTTCAATAATATAATAATTGATCTTAAGTTTTTAGTTTTGCTCAATCAATTTCATATTGTTCTGCGTCAACTTGTAAAATTTATCAGATGTCGCTCCGATTTATTTTAAATTAGCTGTTGTTCTATTTCCTCATTTTTCATATTTGTTTTGCATTTAATTGACTTATATGGTATCAAATAAATATTGTACTTATAAATTTTTTTAAAGCTTTTTTCTGCAGTTCTCCCAATTTTGATTGGCCGGACCGAGTTTGTACAGAGGTGTTTTCTTACCTCATGTAGTAGATGCATCATAACAAATCATGATAGGATTGATTCGTTGTGTTAATAGTAGTACCCGTGTTATATCTCTAGGGCCCACGTCAGATCTAAGCTTTTCAAATTGTTATTTAAGTAAGGGCCCACCAGATTAATAATCAGATGTTTCTGATTAACGCGGGATTTTGAAGCTAATTCTCGATGTTTTAGCCATATTTTCCTTTTAGTATATAATAGATAATTGATACGATTGTCGAGGACGAGGGTGATGGGGCAGCCCAAACCCATGTTTTGAAAGCCTGGAGAATAAATCCAAATCCCGGAACAATAAGATGCAAATCAACTTATCAATTTTCTACAGATCCATCAGAATCTCAGCTACTCAGTGATCTTGTGAAGCATATGTGGACCCACGATGAAAAGCAAAGAACTTTGGACTTCAAATAAATTTTATGTTTGAACTATGTATTTTCGCTACCAACAAATATTATTTTCG